CTCTGAGTCGTATAACCATTCTCACCTTCGTTTTCTGAGTTGTTCCTCCCCCATTAACGTAAATTCACTGCCCACTGAGAGTCCTGTCTAATGTTTTGAGTTGCTGTTGTCAATTTGATCCCACATACATAGTGCTTAAAAGAACATAATGCTTGAGGGAGATATTTTTTATTAGTTAACCTAAACTATTGTTTGGTTTTAAGAGGGCTTCAGGGGATATTTTTGGTTTAAGGTTTAAAGATCATCTTAGGGCAATAGTTTTAGAGGTTCATCCGAACTTCATGGATCCAGGAAGCCTGAACTCCATGAGAATTTGAAATTGCGTTTTTCCTCTTTTGATCAGGATTCTTCTATAGAATCTTTGATCAAAATATTCAGTAAATGGTAGCTGAGCACCATCCATTTCTTCTGGTTTCATGGCAAAGGAGGCAGTTGTTCATGGAAGCAATTAGCCACTCATTCCATATCCTCCTCCTATTCCTGGCTCTCCTTCTTCTGTTGCTCTAGGTGAATTGAGACCAATTATTGTGCTTTGGATGGTCACTTGCAAGCTTTTTAAGACCCCAGGCACTGCACATCAAAATAGTAGGTGGAACAGAGGCACTAAACACATTATTAGGCCAATTTATTGAGATGTCCCATGAAACTATGACCCTAAACTTCCAAACCAAGAAAACAAATCCCATGAGGTTTTTGGTTGTACATAAGCAGCCTCAGCAGCTACTCTTTCTTTTTTTATTTTTGTCATTGTTGTGAATATATCAATCACACTTTTGCCAGTTCAATTTTTTACAGGTGTAAAACTTATTGACAGCGACTACAATAATACTCTGTGCAACCCTACCCTTAATCAATGCAATTTTTCCATCACTGTTAAGCCCCCCATTCCCTCTCCCTTATGCCCCTGGTAACCACTAATAAACTTTGTTCTCTATACATTTTCCTTTTCTTGTTTTTTTATATAAGTGAGGTCATACAATATTTGTCCTTTTGTGATTGACTTATTTCACTCAGCATAATGTCTTCCATCTATACCCATACTGTAGCATGTATCAAGACTTCATTTCTCCTACCGGCTGAGTAGTATCCCATTGTATGTATGTACCACATTTTGTTTATCCATTCATCTGTTGATGGGCATTTAGGCTGCTTCCACCTTTTGGCTATTGTGAATAGAGCTGCAATGGACATCTGTCTACAAATCACTGTTTGAGTCTCTACTTTCAAATCTTTTGGGTATATACGTAGGTGGAATTGCTGGGTCATATGGTAGTTCTGTTTTTAGTTTTTTTAAGAACTGCCACACTATTTTCCACAACAGCTGTACCACTTGCATTCCCACCTGCAGTGGGTAAGGGTTCCAATTTTCCCACCACGTCCTTGCCAACATTTTTTTTTTTTTTTTGTCTTAGCCATCCTTCTTATTATTGTTGTTGTGTGCCATCAAATTAGTTCCAATTCATTGTGACACTAGCCATCCCACTGGGAGTGAAATGGTATCTCATTGTGGTTTTGATTTACAAATCTCTGATGGCTAATGATGCTGAGCATCTTTTCATGTGTTTGGTGGCCACTTGATTGTCCTCTTTGGTGAAATGTCTGTTCAAGTCCTTTGTCCATTTTATGATTGAGTTATTTGTCTTTTTGTTGTTAAGTTGTCAAAGTTTTATATATATATATGTGTGTATGTATATATATATATATTATATATATAGTACTTTGGATGAAGGTTTACAGAGTAAACTACCTTCTCATTAAACAATTATTACTCTTATACTGACTACATAATACCCAGTGCCAACCAGAAGTGGGGGTAGGCTAACCCTAATTGACCCAAGGGAGATTTGTCCTTTTGGTTTCAGAGGCCAGAACTATGGGGTACACAGGGAGGCAGGTAGAGTGCCGACTATGGGAGCAGACTCCACTACAGGAATCCTCTGTAGCAATTCACCTCCAGCTTGCAGGTGACAGTGTCTAGGTGGAGGAGAGGTTGTCACGCTCCAGATGGACCCCCAGCGAGGTCTGCCTTGAGGCTATCAGACCCCCCCTCCCATATTATGTGGGTTGTGGGTGTATCCTCCGTTAAAGATGCCTGCTTCCTAGCACCCAGAAGCCTTAGTCAGCAGTCCTCAGCACCAACCAAAAGGAGAAGCAGACAGACCTGAGCTGACTCCCTGGGAAGTCTGTCCTGTTAGTTTCAGAGACCTGAGCTATGGAGTGTGCAAGGATGCGGGTAGAGTGTTGACTATGAGAACAGACCCCACTAAATGGGCTTTCTATAGGAATTCCCAGTAGACTTGCTACTGACAGTGTCCAGGTGGGGGAGGTGTTGGCTCACTCCAAATGGACCCCCAGCTAGGTCTACCTGGCTGATTTTAGTGCAGAACCTTGTGGTCCTGTCTGTGTACAGGCAGGGGTTGTGGTGGTTAGGGAAGCAGGAGGCTCCTTTTCTGGGGCCACTTCCTCTGTTCACAGCAGCCGGCAGCCTGCATGATTAGGGGTAGGGTCAGGGATGGTGGGAGAAGCAATTTTCTTACTGTACACAACTCACTGATTTGTTGATTCTTGCCTGTTTGCAGTTCCCCATTGCTTTCCTCTGCTCCTCCATTCAGTCTCTCAAAGCCGAGTCCATTTCCCTGTGTTTCTGGTTGTATTTGTGGGGGAGGGTCAGAATGATGGTCTGTTTATGCTGTCATCCTCCCAAAATCTTCTCAGAGACCATTTTACAGAAGGAATTATCAGACCAAACTAAAAGATGATGTTTTTTCAGTTCACTGAGGACCGTTCCAGGAACAGAACCAAAAGTTCAGTCTGTCTCTGCCTGCTCTCCATCAGTCTGTCATTCCCCTTGTAAACTACACTGGGATGGATCGAGCCTCACCAAGCAACCACACTTCACCTCAGAGCCCTGTACTCTTCGGAATGTCCTGGGAACTTATTTATAGAACTCTTTTCAGGGTTTAGTGTTCTCTGGTATATAGAAGATAAATGAGTCTTGGGAATAAAATCACAGCCCTTCTGAAGAAATCTTATTCTTCATTAACCATCTCAAATGTTGAAAACCTGTTGCCATTGAGTCGACTCTTGGTAACCCCACACGTGTCAGAGTAGAACTGTGCTCCCTAGGAGTCTCAATGTCTATTTTTTCAGAAGTAGATCACCAGGACTTTTCTTCCCAGGTGCCTCTGGGTAGACTCGAACCTCCAACCTTTTGATTAGCTGCTGAGCCTGTTAACTGTTTGCACCACCCAGGGACTGCTTTAAAATGTTAGGTTGCTGCTTTTTCCCTTAAAATAAAAATAAGCTACACACTCGTTGACCATTTCCCAGTCTTTATTCTGGCTCTCCCAAGTCCTGAGCAGCCTGTTCCCTCCGCTAGTGCTAGAGAGGCAGGGGACTCAGAGCAGCAGAATGGGGAGGGCCAGAGCAGTGTGGTTATAAACCAGAGGAACAAACCAGGGGGACAATGATTCTTTCCGACTTTCCCTCACTCAAGCTTCAACTCCTACTTCCTATTTGCTTGAAAGATACATCCATTCAAATCAGTTAACAACCTGTGCCACTGCAACAAGTGTTTAACAGGAGTTTGTTTGTAAGGAACCCAGATGGTGGCTGCAGTAATACGAATACCAGCTAGCACGTCTGTATCCTTGTAGACCGATCCCTTTGACCATACCTGAAAATAGAACCGGTGTGTCCAAGGGATTGTACTGTTATCCAAAGGCCATGATACACTTACACTGGATCTCCCCAAGGAGTGCTTTCCCGATGTCTACCAGTACATTTCCCTCTGAGCCTGGACGGGAAGGAGTCTGAGGACTTGGGGCCTGGAGGCTGCCTTCTGGGTGGAATAACTCCTGATGCAGATTCCTCCCCTCTGCCAGGATGGAAAGGGTTCCCGGAGGAAAGCCCTGTTGAATATAATTACGATGTGACTACTATGAGGAGGAAGGGGGAGTGTGACGTGCACATTCATTGTTTTCCCCAGAGAGAGCTCCTTGAGTCCATCAGTAATAAAGCCACCTTGCAGCTGGTCACGGGGACAGGACCTGTGGGCTCCTCAGGAGGGGCACAGGGATGTGGGGGAATTCTTTCAGTGGGAAGCCATGGGTGTATTTTTGCGTGGGTGGTGGGCTTCTCATGTTCCTTTCCCACTGCGCTCTCTTTTCCCTGATGGCCTTGTTTTAAATTATGATCAAGGCCTTTGCTCCAGGATAGTGTCCTTGTCCTTGTCAGACTAGTTGGCAACCTGTCATAAAGCAGTTGGGGGGCCTCTCCACCACCTGTGGGGGGCCTTTGTCCTGACCTGCCAACACCCCTAATTTTCATCACAAGATACTTCTCTGAGAATCTGTATGACTACACAGTCTCAAATTCATTTAGATGCAAGTGGCACATTGCTGGGTTGGTAATGACTGATGAATGAATTTCCTTCTAAATTCATTTTAAAAGCTTGCCCTTATTTTTTGAAATCACCACATGTGGTGATCAACAATTTACTATGACTAAGATTTCAGTTAACAAGTTGCACTAAATCCATTGAATGGACCGAGATTCATTCAACAAACACTAGTTTAAGTCCATTTTTTAAGGTAAATGGGGCCTTAAAGGGACTGGGTTAGTGTTAAAATCACGTTTTTTGTCGTGCTGAGGTTTCTTGCTAAAAACCCTTTCCCTGCTGAGTCAAGAATTGATGTTTTATCGACACTAGAGAAATTGAAGAACAATTGCATTGAACTTAAAACTTTCGTATTTTGTTTTAAAATAGATACTGTAGTTCTGGAGAGACCTGGCTATTAAGGAATGAATTCCTATGGTGAAACTTGATTACTGTGAGTTCCCCCCAGGGATAAGCTTGAAGGTGTATAGTTAAGACATATCATGAAGGACACATTCTCCTTTCAGTCCCTCTGTCTCACCTCAGGAAGGTCTTTATGTAGGAGGGCGCAGGTGTCGTCAATGTGGGTGTCTAATGGGCCTTGTGTTCCTTGCTCTCACAGCATGTCACATACTGGAATGTTGTGGTGGGCTGGCCCAGGATGTCATCAGCTCCATTGGACAAGCCTTTGAGCTTCGGTTTAAGCAATATTTACAGTGTCCTTCCAAGATACCTGCACTTCATGATCGGTGAGTAATGCTGAAACACAGTTTGCAAAATTTTCTTTCTGGATGTATGATCTTTCCTCTTAAAAATATTCAAAAGAACATAACAACCTGCCAGTTGTGCTCTGCAGAGACACATATTCCCGCTGTGGTTTAACACAGGGCTTCGTGGGCTCGCGGACGCCTGGGTGGTTGGGAATGGGATGTGGCACAGGAAACCGACAGATGGAAGCCAACATATGGATGATGCTTTGAATCTTGAGGAAAAAAAACCCTTTTTTTTTTCACTGAAACTATAGTGACAGTAGTCAAGGTTACAAGAAAGCTATTTTATTGTAATTTTTTTTTGTTCTGTTTCCTCTGCAACTGCCTGATGTTTCCATATGTCACCTAATTGGGTCTGTATCACCACAGGTTCTGCACATTCCATTGTCCTTGTTGTCATGAGTAGCCAAAGTTCTGATACAGGAGGCTCCCTCTGGGAGGCAGTGTGCTTGGTGTTGGCACCAGGAGAAGGACCAGCATCGTTTCTGCCTTAGATCGACCTTAGTTTTGTGGGTGTCAGGAAACAGAACATAAGGCATCATAAAAGGTATAAATAGATCAAACCTGACAGCTAAAGGATATTTTCATATTGGATTAAAAAAATATACAAGGATACAATAGGACAAATATTGTCTGATTCCACTTATGTAAAATATCTAGAATAGGCAAATGCATTGAGGCAAAAGATTAGTGGTTACCAGGGGCTAGGGAGACAGAGCAATGGAGAGTTAAAACAAACAATACAAAACAAAATACACAATTTAAGATACAAACATACATGTATATATATATTTATACATATATATATGCTCTTTACAAAATACATGCCAACAATACAACGAAACAAAAGGATGAGTAAAACACATACCAGAAAAGTGTATCCCCAGGAAAGATGATTTAAAAAAACAAAACAAAACCATGAACTCATTGTTGTTGAGTCAATTTTGACTCAAGGTCCCTATGTTTACCCTCAACTACTAACCTAAATGTTGGTGGTTCAAACCCAGCAAGTGGCAACATTGATCTAAGGAGTGATGATTTGCTTCTGTAAATATTACAGAAAAGAAAACCCTATGGAGCAGTTCTACTCTATAACACATGCGGTCACCATGGAAAAATGGTAGAACTATATATTAATATCAGACAAAGCAATAACAATGACAAATGAGAAAAGGAACAATTCACTAGAAATATATGATTGAGAATTTGTGAGGTCTTTATTACACAAACTCAAAAGTACAAATTGAGAGAATTTCAAGGAGAAACTGAAAACTTACTATCTTAGAAGTAGACTTTAACACACAGAGGTGTGTAAAAGGAAAAACCAGTAAAACAATCAAAGTGCTCCTAAGGACATAGAAGAATTTAGCAGCACAATGTTCTGCAAACCTTCATCTAAGGTACAAAAAAAAAAAAGAATTATCTATGTGAGATCAAATTGACAAAAGCAACTCAAAAGGCTTGATGGGAAGCCTAGGGGGCAGTGAGTTGAAGATAATGGTAATAGAATAATCTGGAAAAGGATAGTGAGAATAGCGGCACAGCTGGAAGAATGTAATC